GGCCTCAGCAGTGGGGGTGGCTGGGACAGGGAGGTGGGAGGTGGAGGGGGGGGTGGCGCAGGGGGCACGGGTCGGGGCACAGATGTTGAGACAGATGTAATCTGGACCTGAAAGGAAAGAGAAGAGTGAGAAGCCGGGCTCCGCCACACCCTCAGCCCAACCCAGGGACGTAGGCGGTTCCTCTCCTCTCTTCTCTGAAGGGTTTCTCTCACCCCTTCTCACCTCGTCATCTTCCTCTAGGGCTGGGGCTGGCAAGGGAGCCCCTCTCCTAGCCTCCTCCATGGGGACCGGGGCTCCAGGGGCCCCATCCTGCTCAGCCTCCCATTCCTGCAGCACCTCCTCCAGATTGAAGCGGCGCCGGTAGCTCACAAAAAAGGTCTTCACCTGGGTCAGAGTCTTGTTCCCAATCACCTCTGCAATAGCCCCGAAGTCTTTGCCGTACCTGCGGATGGCTGCGCGGGCCAAAGGGTAGCAGAGAGAACACCTTAGAAGGAGTTACTTCCTGACCCTTCCCCTCTGCCCAGCTCCTTCGAGGGTGGGGGAGAGATTCTGGGGCCCCCTGTTCCCTCCAAGTCGCACCCACCTTGTACAGCCAGGAGCTGCTCGTCTGTGGTCCAGCGGGAGTTGAACTTGGTGTTGGCCTGAAGAGCAAGGAATAGATCCTTTACACTCAAAAACATAAAAATGGAGGCGCCGCTCTCCAAGCAGCACGCCCCTTTCCGCTCCGCCTCCAGAGAGGACCCCTTCCTGCACCCCAACTCAAGAGCAGCCTCACCTCAGGGGGGCGGAGTGGGTCAATGCCGCCCTCCAGGGCTTGGCGGAGGCTGCTGTTGGTCTGCTTCATGCTTTGCACCTGGAAGGCCAGGCAATGAAGGGATATCAAGCTCTCCATGCCAGGGAGGCTGTCGGTACCAGCCCTCCCCAGGGCTCTAGCTCTGCACACACCAGTGCCACTTCCTACAAAGCTCTTTGCCACCCACCACTAGCTCACTCCACCCTCACAGCCACTCAGCAGGGGCGACGCTGTACTTCACTCCTGTTCACAGACCAGGGGGAGAAGATGCCAAGTCACCCAGCAGCCCAGGAGGCAAGGCAGGGGCAGAAGCAGGCTTGGCATCTGCACCGTCTCCCTTACACCTCAGCTGCCCAGTCATGATTCCCAGCTGCCGAATGCTCCCTCTGCACGCCCCTTCTTCTCTCCGGCCCCCACCTGACGCTTGAGAGAGATGAGCTGGGAATCAAGGCCTCGAAGCGTGAGGTTGGCAAGGTCTGGGCTTCCTGACACGGCAGTGAGGCCCTCGGGGCTCAGGTACATGCCCTTGGGGGGGCGCCGCCGCGTCCTCAGTGGGTGGTGGCGATACTGAGAGGCCTGGGCCTCCTTCTTCCCGGGGCCTGGGCGGGCATTCAGAGGCCGAGAGGGCAGAGGCTGCCAGAGAAAGGAGAGGACGGTGGTGGCGCAGCGCCCAAGGAGAGGGCGGGCAAGTGGGCCAGGCCAGTTCTAAGGCCTCACCTCTCTCTTGGGGTCTCCGGCATCTGGCTCTCCCTCACTCACAGCTCCTCGTCCCTCCTCGAGCTCATCACTGCTGACACAGGGCGAGAGAAAGAGTGAGGCAGGGGCAGGGCCCCCAGGAGCTCCGCTTGGCCCCTCCCACCCCCTGGCTCACCCCTGGGCCCCCACCTCTCTTCTTTGTCCTTTCGGCCCCCCAGCCGCCGAGCCTGTCTGTCCATCACGCTGGTCCGGCTCCGGGTCTTCTTCCAAGAGTAGTAATACTTCACCAGGCTGGGGATCAGCTTGTCGGGCAGCTGGAGGGGCAACGCCAGAGGCTGGGGCCACCGAGTGTGGGCCCCGGGCAGGCGCATCAGAAAGGAGGGGCTGAGGAGCGATGGCGGGGGTGGAGGGCTTTACCATCTGCTGGATCCGCTGGAAGCACTTGCCGTGGAAGCCAAAGGCCTGTTCAAACAGCACCTTGTCCTCCACGGTCCACTCGTCGGGGAACGGGGTGAAGTTGGCCAGGTCAGCCAGTGACTTCTCCACGTCGTGCTTATGCCACAGGAGCATGCCCAGTGCCTGGCCGGGGAGAGGGCACAACTGTCTGAGCCACCCGGGCACTGTCTGGTCCCCCCCCAAACCCCTGTGGGGCCAAGGCTCACCTGCTCAATGTTGTAGCCATGCTTCTCCTTGGCCATTGCAATGTACTTGTCAACTGTGGGAGGATGGGGCCGGATCTTGGATGAGGGATTACAACTCCTACTCCTGCCCCACCCCCACACACACACACACACGGGTACGCCTCCAAGCCTGAGCCCCAGGGCAGGGGTTGAACCCACACCTCAGCCTCCAGCCCACTTCTGGGGCAGACTGGCATGAACGCCAGCCGCCAGTTCCCAGGGATGTGCATGAACCCAGGCTCCCACCCACTCACGCTTGGCATCCGACACACAGTGGTTGGGCGACCACACCAGCATCCCCTTCAGCTCCTTGTTGCTGTAGCGTGCGGGGCTCTCTGAAAGGCAGAGGTGGAGGGAAGACACTCAGCAGCCTCGCGGCGCTGGCCTGGACGCATGGCCAGAGGGCGGCAGAGCAGTGGGGCCTGCGAGGTGAGGCCCAGAAAGGAGGAGGGGCAGAGACCCAGACAGGAAGGCAGAGCAGGAAAACTAGCCATGCCATGGGGCCACCCACCCCCGCCTGCCCGCCTGGCCGTCCTTCCAGTGGGCGCCAGCCAAGGGCTCCCCCTAGGTGGGGCTCAGGGCCAAGCCCTGGGCGCCCCTCCCTGTGCAGCCTGCCCTGCCACTCACCAGGCTTGCACTCGGGGATTACAGCCTGGTAATTGGTTCCAACGCGGATCATGCTGTCTGTGGAGCCAGGAGGAGGCAGTCAGGGCTCCAGGGAGGGCGGGAGGATGTGGCGGGGGAGGTGGCCTGGGGTTCTTCCTGAGCACCCAGGGCCCCCACCTTCCAGAAGGCTCACTTTCCCCTCATCTTCCCCCTGTTACCCTCGGCCATACAAGGAACTGGAATAGGAAGAGACCCTGCCTAGTCATAGCCTCTGGGGGCCTGGGGGGCTCAGGGGAGGACGGAGGACAAGGGGCCAGTTTTAGAGCCCAGACCAGGCAGAGCCCTTTGTTCTGGCGGGGGTTGGGGGGCGGTTGGAGGGCTGCCCCTAGACCTGGACCACAGCCCTGCAGGAACCCAAGGCTCCTCCCCACCACATGAGCTTCCCAGCTTGGTGTGGTGTCTTCCCAGACCCTGCCCGGCCAGACCTCAGTCCCCTGCAAGGTGGCCAGGTATGAGGGGCCCAGCCTGTGGGTGGGAGGGTGAGGGACGCCCTAGTCCCTCAGGGCGCGGGCGGGCAGCTAGGGGCCCAGCCCCCAGATTCCGTGCCGGCAGCCCCAGGCTTCGGGGAGAAGCACGGCACCGGCTCCAGCCCAAGGAGGGCAGGAACCATCAGGGTAACGCGCCAGTGGTCGGCCACTCTCCCTCCCCGCCCCGCCCCCCACTCTGAGTCCGCGG